TCTGCATGATATTTGAACGCACAAGTGTGATGTCTGAGTTCTTCTGAACCTCAGCTACGTGATTAGTATGGGCTTAGCTCCGAATGGACTGACAACGGCGAGCGTCTGTTGCAACTGTGTGCGGAGCAACAGTTGTTTATTGTAGCACTGCTTTCAGACACAGTGGGCGCCGAAGTACCACTTGGCGTCCTACTGTAGCTGACCAGCGATGGACCCAAATTGGCTGCATTGCCATAAATAAATAAATGAATAAATAAATATTTTATTCTCGACTGTGCGAGGCACGCCCATGGTCGAGAATAAAATATTTATTTATTTATTTATAGCAATGCCGCCAATTTGGGTCCATTGCTGGCCACATGCAGAAGGACGCCAAGTGGGTACTTCGGCGCCCAATGTATTTAAAAGTAGTGCTACTGATAAACAACTGGTGCTCTGCATACAGTTGCAGCAGACGCTCGCCGTTGTCAGTCCGTTCGGAGCGTGGTTACATCCTGGATTGCCGCTCATTCTTGAGTCCTCGCGTCGACTCTGATCATGCCTTGATATTCTGTCGTTTCTCCGTGAACTATTCCGGTAGGCGCACCAAACGTCTCCTCCAATCGGCGATTGAGATATTGTCTCAGCCTTCGGTCAGGCAAGCCTATCAAGGCGCACTGCGCACCGAATTTTCACTAACTTGCCCTAAGGATACTGAGCTTCAATGAAATAAGATCTCGGTCACCATGCACAACGCAGGAGCATCTGTTTGTGGCACTATCAATCGTTACCGTACCAGTCACTGGATATCCGAGGGGTCGGTGAATCTGTTGGAATTCAGAAGAAACCTTCCGGCTGGCTCTGAGCACAATGTGACCAGACGGGTTATTAGGTGCGAACTAAAGCGGAGCCTGTGTGTTGACAAGGAAGCCTGGTGGACCAGTAGGGCTCAAGAATTGGAGGCAGCAGGAGCAGTAGGCAATTGCCGCAAGTTCTTCCAGCTGATCTGCACCATTGGTTCCAGGAAACCAGGCGTCAGTGAGACGATCAGAGACAGGGTGGGTGCACTGATACCTAATAAGGAGGACCGTATTTGCACGTTGGGCGTAACACTTTCTAGAGCAGTTCAGTTGCCTCCTTACTCCTGTTTCTAATCCTAATCAGATAATGCATGACGATCCATGGACGGTTAGTTTATGGCCTCCATCGGAGGCTGAGTTGCGAAACGCAATTACAGCCCCCAATCATTTTCATTCTACTGGTCCCGATTCCCTCCGACCTGCATTATTTAAGGATAGAGGTGAGGTTTTCTGTAAAGCACTGGTTTCCTTTTCGGACGTATCTGGAAGGATGTGTCCCGGCTAACTAGAGTGGGTCTATTATGGTGGCAATATACAAGAAGAGCAGTCGTACCAACTGTGTTTACCACAGGAGTATTAGCCTACCGCCAGTTGTGACAAAATTACTGGCCTCGATTCTCGTTCGACGCCTCGCTGTGGAACAGTATTCTCGGATTAGGGAAGAGCAGGCAGGTTTTCGCCCAGGATTTAGCTGTGTAGATCATATATTCACTCTGCGGCAGTTGCTAGAGCAGCACCACGCATACCGCATACCGACAATAGCTGTGTTCCTTGATTTCAAGAGTGCGTTCGATTCAGTCGATCGATGCATTCTGTTCGAAATACTTGCGCGGAAAGGTGTTTCCACGAATATCTTACATTCTTTATACTCGAACACTACAGGCCATGTTAGGGTCTACGGTGGTCTATCGGATACTTTTCCGACCACAAGTGACGTTCGTCAGGGTTGTGCAGTTTTCCCGTCTTTCAGTTTCGTTTATCATGGTGTATTCGTTTGCGGAATCTCATGATGTAGGCGTTGAGTTCTTACCTGGTGAAAGATTAGTTGATCTAGATTTTGCGGACGATATTGTCTTGCTTTTCGACGATGTTGCGGCCGCCTAGTCAACTCTGAATAACCTGTCTGGAGTGGTCCCATTATTTGGTTTGCTCTTCCCAGCTCCAAAGTGTAAAGTTTTGCTGCAGGACCACCAGCCGTTTGATGACCCCTTGACGCTTGCTAACGAGGAACTCGAGGTGGTTGATCGATTTACTTAGCTTGCCAGCTGGATGAGCAACCATGGGTGCATAGAAACTGAAGTCAGTTCACGCATTGCAAAAGCCAGAGCTGCCGTCTTGAACCTGCGGCATTTTTGGCGTCTGAAGGGAGTTTCCCTCCGTCTGAATGACCATGTATACAAGGCCACAGTGAGGGCAGTTCTGCTGTATGCTAGTGAGACTTGGCCCTTTCGGTCTGAAGATTTGACGCGTCTTTAATTCTCTGATCATCGCTGTCTGCAAAGTATTGCTGGTGTCGGATGGCACCAGTGTGTCCGCATGGATGATGTACGTAGGCTCGTACTCAGTAGTGATAATCACGCTAGCTCCTTAGAACAACAGATAGTGCTGAATAAGTTGCGTTGGCTCAGGCATGTGCTTCGTATGCGTGGTCACCACTTACCTAGGAGGGTCTTGTTTAGTCTGCCAGGCGTAGGATAGCGGAAGGCCTGAGATGGACGGAAGTTGATTTGGCAGCGGGAAATGAAGTCATTGACGACCAACCTGGGTGCTTCTTTTCTTCGGGACTCTAAACTTTACAGTACATGTTTCGCAGTCGATACCAGTGGCTCGTCTGTTGCCGTCTCCTAGTGGGACTTCCTGTCTAAAGTGTATTTGGTGTTGTGTTATCTACAGGGTAATGGCTGATTATGACGTTGGGCATTAAAAACCGCAATGTAGATGTTTCGCCGGTGCCACTTTATCTTTGCACGATTGTTAGCTGTTTGTGACCGTTCTTTGTCTACCCAAGGTGGAGACACATTGGCCCTGAATGTTTGCTTAATGCATTATGGTTTTCTTGTTAGTATCCCTTCTCTCCCTCTTATTATTCTTTATTCCATAGCTCATCGTGGTTATTTGGCGGCGAAGCATCAGTTATGGTGGCTGATGTCGCTTTGTTGCTGTTGTTTTGTCGCTGTTTGCATTCTACAGTCGTTCTTTTACTCTTAGAAACCTGTCGGATTGATCCTGCACCCCACTGTGGTTTTCTCCAGTCTCGGTGTGTTTTCTTCACATGTCGCCCCGTTTTGTGTTTGGTTTTCCGACATACTTTGTCCTCTGGCTCAACTTCTGTCTTTCGAGCTGAGACCATGTGAAGCTGTTTGCTCATTCTCTTGAGGAGACAACAATTATCCACAAGCTTGTAGTCCCTAAGAACGAGAACCATGCACTTGGAAGCACCTTTTTGCATTTCATAACACGGTACTTGACGGTATCCAACCACGTGCAGACTTTGTTTGATCGCAGCCCCAAGCATTTTGGTTTATTCTGCATATTTGTGTCGTTGCTCGCAGACAGTAAAACTTTCCCCTTGTTGAATACATATCCTTTCTTCGGTCGAGTCTAACCGAGGCCCTCGTTCATTACCATAATGTAGAGCAGAGGTCGCGGTGGGTTACTTTGTCTCACGCTACAACACGTTCTTGCCCCATCTAACCCTATTTTTGATTTAGTTGACAGTCCCGTGAGATACTACTACTACTACTACCACTACTAATACTACTAATAATAATGTGTCAGCTGTACGCCGTAACGGCGCTTCGCTGCCGCGCGACCACCACCAGTCGCGCGCGGGCTGAGTATACCGCGAGGACGCCCACTGCTACGTGTATTCGAACCGCTGACCTTATGGTTGCAAAGCAAACGTGCAGACCACTTGCCCACCGGCCGACCGTCGTGTGAGGTAAAGCACTTGCAGCGAAGCTGCTCCATAGCGGATGACCGCCTGTGCGTTCACGACATTCAGACAGCGAACGATACACTTTTTCCAACTGAGCTACTCAGAATATGCCATGCAACGCATACGAGGCTTCTAGAGATCCATTCCTATAGATAGCCAACTTGATAGAGGCGTAGGAAGCGACGCCTCGCGCGAGTGTCTACCTGCAGCCTTAAGACTCACCAACCTATCTTGTAATCCGAGGGTGCGGCTTCGAGCGACCCTCGCTGTATCCCTAGGCCACATGCGACTGGTAGTAGTTGTACGGCAGCGAAGTGTCGGTACTGCATATCGGCGTACTGCTGATGCCCTGCTAGAGTCACTTTGTGTAAATCATGTACGACAATCAAAACGATAGCTATCAGTCAATAGTTTCCTGAGTGTGCAGAATTTGCTGTTTTGGGTACAAAGGAGATTCGTGCTCACTGAATACACGATGAGATCAATTCGAATAAAAGCATTTGGTCGGCAACCTGTGGCCAAATCACAAAACTATGTTTCGACAAAGTAGGAACCGTCAGCTTACCAAGTCCTGGCACTTTTTGCGGTCTGTTTCAAAGCCGCCTCTAACTCGGATGATCCGATACGCTTTAACAAATCGATCCTAGAGTTTAATAGCACTGGTCTACTGTCATCAGTGCCTTGTGTTAATGTCCTCAAATTGCAGCGGCTACTTTTTTGATCCATGCAACGTTCGTCTCTCCTCTGATCTGCAGACCGTCCCATTTAATACTGAACCTACGTATGACTATTTCGGTAAATGTTTGAGGCTTTGGGAATTCAGTGGCGGGGCGTGCCGTAATCTCTTGACTTATGCGATCGCCAAAGATGTTACAACCAGTTACATAAGGGGACCTATCGATTGAGTGGGTGCTCGTTGATAGTCAGGACTGATGGAGAGTCGGTCCATTCTTTTAGAAACATTTTGCACTTTGAAGATGTAGAGCACTTGCCGAACCGTGCTCCGTTACCCGTCAGCTACCTCAGCGGAGCTTGCCTAGCACTTATATCCTACCCATTGGGAACTATATCGACCATGTGTTCCAAGCTAGCAGAACTTATACTCAAAAATGACTGGAGATGTCAGCACCAATTTTTCTCTTACTACCCTCCAAATCTCAGCAGTTATGATACTACTCCGTCCTTATACCTTATCACTTTTCTTCCTTGATTGCACTGTTCAGATCTTTCGTGGTCTGAACTGCAGGGTCGTAGCGGTGCCATCCAGGCTGGATTGAATTTAGAGTTTTCTCATTTCGATGCTGGCTCAGTTGACATTCTGTCGGAGGGGAAGAACGGGCTATTGGCCAATCTTGATTTAGTGAATACCGTTGTCCGGCTTGCTCATAAGCTCAACATTGAGCCTGTGGTGAATGGCCAGGTGAGTTTCCGTTTCCATACACCCCCTTTTTATCCAGTTCTCCAAACGCATCAAACTTCCATATTAACTATTCTCCTACCACTAATGAATTTCATCTGTCATGCTGAATTGTAGTCCATCCAGACTTTAGGAGAAATCGGCCTCAAGTATTAACTTCCAGCTGATCTATCTGTCTAAGTAGTCATATGCAGCGTTAAACGGGTCATGGAACGCTACATCGGCGTTAAGCAATTTCGCTGTCTTTAAGCTGTCTGCCTTAGTTTCCTGTGATTGAGATTCTTGGTCTTTACACAATCACCTATTAGGGACCCACTACGAACTGACTGTCTTGATACTGCGGCACAACGACTAATCTCGTCATTGGGTACTGCTCCCCCATTGGCCAGTGGTTTCATGCGTTTACTGTTAGCGAGGAAATCGCTGCAAAATTTGTATCGGTGGTCGGGTGGACCTGCATCGCACCGAAGATCTCTGATCATGCCTGCTCTCTACTTTCGTTCTAAGATGGTGATTCTATACATTAAATCGCAGATATTCAAATGATCATTAGATGAGCATTTCTCAAATATTAAATTCCGTGTACGATTACCAACAGGCATCCCGCATTTTTAAAACCTAATCTACTTTGAGTTAAACGATCTTTTAACGATATAACGTGAGAACGTGCAAACCGATCAGTGTATTGACAAGTCATAGTTTGCTTTTTTAACCTTGATCACATTTCGATGGAGTTGTACTGATTTACATTTCGACTTAATCCCACAATACAGTGTTCAGTATTTTTCTGCATACGTTTATATTAATATGTACTATGGGGCTTAATCGTGTAAGCCCAGCCAGATGTTGTATGAGCTTGACATGCCCGGAGATGAATGTCTGCCAATGTATCCGCCACTCTTGCATCATCCCCCCATCGGAACTTTGGAAGCGCCTTTAGTCGAATATGTTTAATCTCTCAATACAAATAGTTTCATTTTGGCAACTATCGCTTATCCAGATTGCTCCGGACTCGTTTGCAGCTCCACAGAAGAACTTGTGCACACCTCACAGTTCGACCGACAAAACGTTGTTTGCACCTTTGTTTGGTTTTGTAACTAATGTTTTGAGTGGTTCCCATGTCTTCTTCGTGTGACACTCTTCTACTGTTGCATCCACATTCCATTCCACTTTTCTAGTACATTGTGCTCTTGCTGTACCGTTTTTTGGTATTGAATACCACCTCGTGCTCAGAGTTTGAGCGCTGCGTATTTTTCTTACCGAGCCTTCTGGCGTTCCTTCTGTCTCATCTTGTCAGTCATTATTTACGAATCACCCTACAGTTTCAGTTCGTTATCACACCCACTTCAAGTTATTTTGTATGCTGAGACTCGCCGATTGATTACCCCGTGCACAATCGTTAGCACTTCAAAATCCACCGCACTGCGGCACTCCTCGTGCTTCATTTTTCGCCCATTGGCGAATTTCTGCCTGACGTCCAGTTGTGGACTGAAAGTTGTCTCATTACAGTGAGACATCGTTATCGTGTTAAATATCTTTAGAGCCGGTTAGCGATCGGCTCATACTACCGCATGGTAATCAATTAGTGGCTGACACCCTCAGACTGGTACTCGATTATGACGGTATTTTCCGATTTTTGCACGAACGCTCGTTATACCGGTAATAGCAGGAGAGGGCCCCTAAGAAGCCCTTACCGGTTGTTTTTACTTAATTTGTTCGACTACATCTGTCTGTCAGCCAATTTACCTCCGGTTGTCCGGTAGTAACACACTTTTCTTGCCACAACGTTTCCGTGAACTTGTCTGACGTTTCTCGTTCCTGTAAATGAACCTTGATTATTTAGCTGCGCGCTTTTCTGTACACACATTCTGGTTCCGACTCCTCTAGGTGCTTTGGTCCACCTTGTCAAATGTTCATCCTCTAAAATCTTATGCCGGTTTTCTCGTTTAACTCCGGATAATCACTCCACTGTTTCTTTTTCTTGAATTCCACGCCCTACAATGTTCGTCACTGTGCTCCCGGATTATATTGCCTAGTCACCATTTCTCACCTTATAAAACATACAATACAGTTTCTTTTCTCATATTGGATCAATAGGCGCATTGTTTGAGCAGATCTTACATTCCTTTCCTAGTAAGTAGTCGGCGGTTCCAAACACTTCCGTTCAGCCTACTGTCAATGGTCCGGATATTGAATTGCGATTAACCCAGTTGTCACGGGCTTATCCACATCTTTATGCCGAATTCCAACTATAAAACCGACTGATGAACACTTGAAAGTTCAATGGGTGAAAGCGATGGACCGCATGCAAGAGCTTCATCGGCCTTGCCACTGCACCATGTCGAATAAGATCCTTTGGCTGTTCCTGTCGCCTTCGTCAAACAAAAGAGGTTAAACCAGTTTATGCGCGTCTTTCAGTCGATTCCTTCATGCTTTTTTATCGCTTCGTCTTTTGAGCACCCAACCGGGTTCACCTGTTCTTCTCAATACACTCAATGAGTGTCCGTACAGCTAACCAACTCATCTTAGGTGGTTCATGTACCAAACATGACCTGGTGAGGCACCAGTGCTCTTCCGAGCATTTGAGTTGTTCATTCGGAATCATTTTTGGTTCCGTCATGTGTACACTGATCAAAATTCATTACATGGCTGAATCTCGATTTATCGAGAAATATACGATGTCGTTGTTAATTCATTGGCCCCACGAAATACAGTACACGCTGGTTGTGCACCGGCATTTAAAGACAACTACTCCTTCGATGTATTTACTACGCATTGACCACGTCTCTCATCTGTACAGTGACGCTGGTGTTACTAGTGCTTTTGAGCTCTGTCTTTCATCATCAATAACTGAACACACCTCAGCTAATGTATCGCAATACAGACAGTTAAGACACCAAAAACTTAGACTACAGAAGTTGCAATGCAAGTAATAAATAAATAAATAAATAAATTGTATATGGCTCGACGATGCGAGATGCCCTTCCCCGAAGGGACGGATCAAATAATGGTACAGCAGTTTCATATCATGGTATAATAAATTTTTAAAAAAATGTGAGCACAAAATGAAAATTTGTGTAGCGCGAAGCGGTCCAAAATATTTACATTCCTCTTGTTCTATCGTCTGACAAGTTTTTAGCAGTCACATGAGAGTTGATCGCACACGAGAAAAAAAGAGAATAAAGTGCTGCGGGCCAAACAAAATATAACCACTTGTGCACTTGACCGCATGCATTTTCAGGCACCATTAACTCCGTTCTCAAAAGCGTTATCTAAGGACTGTGCTGTTCGAAACATTATTATCACATTTTGAACGGTTAAATAATCTTTTACCGAAAGCTTAAACAAACGCAATGTGCAACAAGTTCTGATAGCTCTTGGAAGTTTGTTCCAAAGCTTTGAGCAGTGTAGTAAGAAGAAACGCTCCCTAATTCGCGTATTGAACTTTGGAATCATGACCGTTGTCTCCTTATTTCGTAGCTCGTATCTAGTGTTAACGGCCATATGGACACAGTTAGCATAATTGTGCATGTGATGGTGAATTATTCTGTACAGGAAACACAAGTTCATCTTTATTATCCGTAGCCAAATTGGGTCAAGTCCAAGATTTTCACTGCGCTCTTTGTAGGTCATCTTGGAGGAATATCCGCACAGCTTCTTTGTAAAGCGTCGCTGTACCCTCTCAAGAGCATGCTGGTCAGATTTCCGCAGATTCGACTGTATTAGTGAGCAGTATTCCATGCCAGGTAACACATATGTTTTGTAAAGCCAGATACGAGATTCTGTGAGTTGAAATTTATGACAGATATAGCCAATAGTCTTCATGGCTTTCGAAACTTAGAAGTCACAATGTTCCGAAAAGTTGAAGGTAGTGGAATACCGCACACCCAAGTCGCGAATCACTTTGCACTGTGATATAAACGTGCCTTGTAATAACAGACTGTCTGGTGGAACTTCGCATTTGTACGACAGAATATTACACTAGTCCACGGAAAAGGACATCTGCCACAATTTGCTCCAGGATTCAAGTGCCGATAGATCTTCCTGAATGTGACACAAGGCTGCGCGGGTATCTGCACGTTCTTGTGAGTAGACGATTTTAATGTCATCAGCAAACAGCAAAGTAGCACCATGTCTTATTCTATGAAATACATCGTTGACGTAGAGGAGAAAAAGAAGTGGACCAAGTACACTTCCCTGAATTACTCCACTGGTGACTGCTTTCGGTTTAGAGACACGGTCCCCAATACGCACCACCTGATATCTGTCAGCTAGGTATGACGATAACCAAGAAAACATTGGTTCTCCAATACCTATTTCCTTCAGCTTGAGGAGTAGTCTTCGATGCGGCACTCTGTCGAATGCTTTTTGCATGTCTAAGAACAGGACAATAACACTGTTGCCTTTGTCTATGGCAGCCGTTGTGTGGTTCAAGAAGTCTGTCTGGCATGTCGCACAAGATCTGCCCTGCAAAAAACCGTATTGTGAATTGTTGATGACGTTTTTCTTATTCAAGAAAATAAGTAATTCGTCTTTCACTATCCTTTCCACAATTCTAGATATTACACGTGTGTGGTTGATGGGGCGATAGTTTTTAATTTCGTGAACGTTTCCATTCTTATGCCGCGGGATAACAACGGAAGTCTTCCAGTGATTAGGATATACTGCATTGTTAAAAGAGAGCGTAAAAATGTTGAGCAATAGAAGAGGCAAGTCTCTCCCACCGCTTTTTAACAAACAAGGGGGAATTCCATCAGGTCCTGGGTAAGTCGAGGAAGACAAGCGGGAGACTTGACCGGAGATTTTTGCAATAGTGAATTCCACTGTGCATAAACTTTCAGCAATGTGTGGTGTGACAAGCGCTGGTGTGGCTAGCGGTTCATCAACCATTGATTCGGCAAAATAGGCGCTGAAAGCCTCACAAATTTCACCCGGAGCATCAAGGTATGTGCCATCCGGCATAATGATAAAATTGATGGAATTACTGCGACGCAAACCTCTGG